TTGATCAGGGCCATTTGGGTGATTGCTGTTATTATTATGATTTAAAAAGGAGCCAAACAACCACGTGATAATGAAAGGCTTTATATGACCACTATTCTTAAATAAAAGACAGGTTTTTTTGGCATGATCAGTCATATTTTCAATATGATTGCCAAATTTTCACAATTTCTGCCAGGGTGTGCAAACTTTTGAGGACAACTGTAGGAGATATTATGCTGTGGCAAATTCTAGATCAGGGTAATTAAATAAATTCACAGAGGTCCAATCAGTAAATATTTTTCCAGCAGAGGTCCATAATGCATGCTTGTCCAATGACAGTCCACTCTGCATATCACAATCCCCCCTTTACATCAAAATCCCCCACTTCACAGTAGTATCCTCTGCCCCTCTCACATCACCCCCCACAGTAGTGTCTTCCCCTTCCCCCCTTCACATCATCCCCCCACAGTAATGTCCTCTGCCCTCTTCAATCACCCTTCACACCCACTGCCCCCTTCACACTACCCCTACAGTAGTGTTCTCCTCTGCCTCCCCCCCAACAGTAATGTCCCCTGCCCCCTTCACAGAACTCTCTGTCCCTTTCCATCACCCCCCCCCCCCACAGACACAGTAGTGTTCTTTGCCCCTTTAAATCCCCTCCATCATCGTTCACATCAAGCATCCCCAGCTACCCTTTCTTCAGGACCAGGTTCTCTGCCCCCCTACATAGTGTGGAGAGTGGGAGGCACAGTAGTTCTGGATGGAGGGTGGGAGCGGGAGCTGCTAAAGTTAACTTTTCATATTAACAAGCTGGTAATTGGTTGCTAGAACTGCAATGTGTCCTAACAACCAATCACCTGCTGGTTAATATGGAAAGTTATCTCGGGCAGCTCCAGCCCTCCATCCAGTACTACTGTGCCTCCCGCTCTCTGCTCTGCTGTGATAATGACAGCGGCAAAGGCTGGGTGACAGAACAGTGGTCTGCCATTTAGTAATACCTGCTCTAGATCATGTAGCGCAAAGCTGGAAATCTTTTACATTTACATAGTGGGCAGGAGTGTACCTATAGGGGTCACAGGGGTCATAATTGTGACCTGACCCCATACTCCAGGGTGCCCTGTGGCTTCACTGTACACCAGATGAACAATGGACAGTGGGATATAGAGAAACCAATGCCACCATTTTCCTCCTGCAGCTGCTTAAAGCCTGCTTCTTCTCCTCTCCCTCTTGCAGGCATACAGTGGCTGCAGGATGATAATAGAAGAGAACAGTTCCTGTATATGCCACCCTTGCCACCCATCCTATCCAGGTCCTGCTGTCCCCAGTACCCTGTGTGCAGTCCTGACCCCCCACAATGCTGCAAGTTTCCCCCACCATCTCCCGCTGGCTGCTGTGGGGGATGTGCTAGGATGGAGAGTGGGGAAGGAGCCAGTAAATATGTAATTTACCAGTCCCTTCCTTTTCTTTCTGGAGAGAGTCAGCAGAAACATGCATAACAAGCATAGTAAACTGTGTTTACTATGCGTCCACTTGTAATGAACAGGAAGCTCTGTACAGAGCTATTCCTGTCCATTCATTCTATGGAGCTGAGGCTGCAGAGATGGAGATTGAGGGCTGTGTATGTTTAGACCCCAGATATCTCACCAAAGCCCAAAAAAATAGTAGAAAAAAAATACATAAACTAAAATGATAATAAATATAACAAAAGTAAACCACTGCCGACAGCAGTGGCAGAACGGGGCCCTGGAGTTTTGGCAACGTGGGGGGGGGGGGTTTCATTGACCACCAATGTAAGAAAAGCATTTACACTTACCACCAATGAAATAGAAAATTTACAGTGACCACCAATGTAAGGGGGGATTTTACATTGAGCACCAGTGTAAGGAGGGACTGCTACATGGACCACCAAGGTAAAGGAGGATTCCACACTGGCCACCAATGTAAGTGGGAATTTTACATCAACTACCAACCGACTACTCTGGCCTCCAATGTAAGTGGGAATTTTACATCGGCTACCAACCGACTACTCTGGCCTCCAATGTAATAGGGAATTTACACTGACCACCAATGCAAAGGGGGACTTCTACACGGTACACTAGTGTAAGCAGGGGTGGAATGACCATTAGCAAACTCGGGCACTGCCCGAGGGCCCGGGGTCAGTAGGGGGCCCCATGAGATGCCCCTGGTACCTTTTTTCATAGGCTTTTTTGATTTTGGGCAAGGACACAGGGGCCCCATGATCCCCTATTGCCCGGGGGCCCCATGAGTTGTCAGTCCACCCCTGAGTGTAAGGGAGGTTTCGACACCAATGTAAGGGGGGGTTACACTGACCCCTAATGTAATAGGAACATTCATGCTAAACACCAATGTAAGAGGGACATCAATGTAAGTGTGGGCTCAACCAGGTGAAGCAGAGCTATAACCTCCAATTATCCACTGCTTTTAGGTACTGGGTATACAGTCAGAGAAGCTTCCAATATTGTACTATTAACGGAGCTGGCGCTCCTGTGTAACAGCAAAAACGGTATCCTTTATTACAAAAACAGCAGATAAAAAAAACGCCAACAAACTTCAGACGTCAGGCTTTAGTCATGGCTACTTCACAAATGTTACATTTATTTAAATAACAATTAAACAGTCAGCATGACCGTGTTGGTGGTGGGTCAGTGATGGTGTGGGGAGGCATATCCATGGATGGATGCACAGACCTCTATAGGCTAGACAATGTCACCCTGAATGCCATTAGGTATCGGGATGAATTCCTTGGACTCATTGTCAGACGCTACCCTGGTGCAGTGGGTCCTGAGATCCTCCCGGCGCACAACAATGCCCGGCCTCATGTGGCAAGAGTATGCAGGCAGTTCCTGGAGGATGAAGGAATTGATACCATTGAATGGCCCCCAAGCTCGCCAGACCTAAATCCAAAGGAACACCTCTGGGATATCGTGTTTCGGTCCATCCGATGATGACAGGTTGCACCTTAGACTGTCCAGGAGCTCAGTGATGCCCTGTTCTTGATCTAGGAGGAAATACCCCAGGACACCATCCGTCGTCTCATTAGGAGCATGCCTCAACATTGTCAGGTATGCATACAAGCACGTGGAGGCCATACAAACTACTGAGTACCATTTTGAGTTGCTGCAATGAAATTTCAGCAAAATAGACTCGCCTGCAGCATCATTTTTTCTCTTTGATTTTCAGGTTGTCTTTGAATTCAGTCCTCTGTAGGTTGATAATTTTAATTTCCATCAAATGATGGGACATCCTTACATTCCTAACACATTACCCAGTCCATATCAGTATAGATATCCAGCATGATATTTTTCCCATTGAGATCTGATGTGTTTTCAAAGTGTTCCTTTCATTTTTTTTGAGCAGTGTATAATTGTGTGATTGTCCTGAGCTAGCCTTTGTTTTGGGTGGAGCAACTGTGTGCTCAGCCTAAATGAGTACACCTCAACAGATTTGTCAGAAAACCTTTACTTTCCTTTCAGAATCAACATTTTCTATGGGACACTGTACTACAAAATACTCCCACAAATGCAGGCCATTGTTTGTAAACCAGGTTTGTTACTTTGCACACACAAAAAGATATTTTTCCTAACAAATTCCTTTAAGACCATGTTGCAAAAATGAATACACCCCAATTAAAGTCTTAGGAATAAAGCTAAATTTTAGATAACAAAATCCCAATTAACAGGAATTCAACTACAGGTGAGTCTAATTATTCATTAACAAAGAAAACCCCTTCCCATTTCATGCTGTCAGCAATGGCACCACATGGAAGAGAAATGTCACAAGGCCTGAGAAAGAAAATAATTTACACAAGAAAGGTGAAAGCTACAAGAAGATCAGCAAAGCTTTACATATCAGTCAGAATACTGTAGCAAACATGATACAAAAATGTATACAAAGTTGGAGCTACAACCATCTCACAGAGATGTACAGGCCGTCCATGGAAGTTAAAACCTTGACAGGAGCATCTTCTGATGAGAAGGGTTTAAGAAAATTGCCATGCAAGTTCACTGTAGTTAGCTAAAGAGTTAGAAAGCCAAACTGGGGTGATTGTTTCCCGTGACACAATAAGGCGTACACTGCAGAGGAATGACATGCATGGGTGTCATCTACGAAGAAAGCCTCTCCTAAAGCCCACGTACAAAAAAGCCCACCTATAATTTGTCAGGGCCCATGCTGAAAAAGAAGACTACTGGGACTCTGTACTCTGGAGTGATGGGACTAAGATAAATGTTTTTGGAACTAATGGCTTCATGGTATCACAAAGGTGAGGAAAGAAAAGAAAATGCATGGTGCCTACAGTGAAACATGGTGGTGTCCTTCTGTGGGGCTCCATGAGTGCTGCTGGTGGTGGGGAGCTGCATTTCATCAATGGTGTCATGAATTCACAGATGTACTGCTCTATATTGAAAGAGAAGATGCTGCCATCACTTCGTGCCCTTGGTCGTCGTGCACTTTTCCAACATGACAATCATCCAAAACACACATCTAAGGCCACTGTTGTATTTCTGAAGAAGATCAGGGTGAAAGTGATTCAGTGGCCAAGTATATCTTCTGGTCTGAACTCAATAGAACACCTACGAGGAATTCTGAAGTTGAACATCACTCTCCATCCAACATCCAGGCTCTAAAAGAGGTCGTCCTTGAAGAATGGAAAAAGATAGGTGTTGCAATATGTCGCCAACTTGTTCATTCCAGGCCTAGAAGACTTAGTGCTGTCCTTACAAATCATGGCGGTCATATAAAATACTAGATGGAGTAGTTTTTGTTGTGAGATGTATTCATTTTTGCATCAACTCATCTGAGTAAAACTGAAGATTTTGTAATCTAAGTTATATTATTAACCTTACTTTCATGTAATAAGCTACAAAACTCAAAATTGTCCTTGTGTTCATTGAGATATTGATTAAAATCTTACATTTCAAAAGGGGTGTACTCATTTAAGCTGAGCACTGTACACACACACATATATATATATATATATATATATATATATATATATATATATACACACACACACACTATATTGCCAAAAGTATTGGGTCACCTCTCCAAATCATTGGATTCAGGTGTTCCAATCACCTCCATGGCCACAGGTGTATAAAATCAAGCACCTAAGCATGCAGACTGCTTCTAAAAATATTTGTGAAAGAATGGGCCGCACTCAGGAGCTCAGTAAATTCAAGCGTGGTACCATGATAGGTTGCCACCTGTGCAATAAGTCCATCCGTGAAAAGTCCTTGCTACTAAATATTCCACGATCAACTGTTCGTGGTACTGTAACAAAGTAAAAGCAACTGGGAAAAACAACAACTCGTCCACAAAGTGGAAGGCCACGTAAGATGACAGAGCAGGGTCAGTGCATGCTGAAGCGCACAGTTTGCCGAAGTCGCCAATTGTCTGCAGAGTAAATAGCTAAAGACCTCTAAACTTCATGTGGCCTTCAGATTAACACAACAGTGCATAGAGAGCTTCATGGAATGGGTTTCCATGGCCAAGCAGCTGCATCCAAGCCTTACTTAATTATTCATTACAGGTACTTACATAGCGCTGTCAATTTACACAGTGCTTTACATATATATTGTACATTCACATCAGTCCCTAACCCTCAATGGGCGTACAATCTAAGGTCTCTAACTTACATTTATACATACACATACAATACTAGGGCCAATTTAGACAGGATCCAATTAACCTACTAGCATGTCTTTGGAGTGTGGGAGGAAACCACAGTACCCAGAGGAAACCCACACAGGCACAGAGAGAATATGCAAACTCCAGGCAGATTGTGCCATGGTTGGGATTCGAAGCAACGACCCTAGTACTGCCAAACAGAAGTGCTAACCATTTATCCACTGTGCTGCCCTTACATCACTAAGTGCAACGCAAAGCGTCTGATGCAGTGGTGTAAAGCATGCTGTCACTGGTCTCTAGAGCAGTGAAGATGAGTTCTCTGGAGGGATGAATCATGCTTCTCCGTCTGGAAATCCGATGGATGTGTCTGGGTTTGGTGGCTGCCAGGAGAACGGTACTTGGCTGACTGGATTGTGCCAAGTGTATAGTTTGGTCCAGGGGGGATTATGGTGTGGGGTTGTTTTTCAGGGGTTGGGCTTGGCCCCTTAGTTCCAGTAAAGGAAACTCCTAAGGCGTCAGCACACCTAGACATTTTGGACAATTGCTCCCAACTTTGTAGGAACAGTTTGGGGATGGCCCCTTCCTGTTCCAACATGACTGTACACCAGTGCACAAAGCAAGGTCCATAAAGACATGGATAAGCAAAGAGTCCTGATCTCAACCCGATAGAACAACTTTCGGATGAATTAGAGCAGAGACTGCGAGCCAGGCCTTCTCATCCAACGTCAGTGCCTGACCTCACAAATGCACTTCTAGAAGAATGGTGATACATTCCCATAGACACACTCCTAAACCTTGTGGACAACCTTCCCAGAAGAGTTGAAGCTGTTATAGCTGCAAAGGGTGGGCCAACTCAATATTGAACCCTACGGACTAAGACTGGGATGCTATTAAAGTTCATGTGCGTGTAAAGGGAGGCGACCCAATACTTTTGGCAATATAGTGTATGTATGTTCTGTTCTTTTTATTCAGCACTATGCTGTGATCAATGCTGCTTGCTGAAACGCATCAGCATGCTTTTATGTCACTCCTATGATCTGTGGGATGTGGATCTGTGTTTGAAGTAAATGGGCTTTATTTTCATATCTACAGTACAGTATCTGGATTTGATCTTTATTTTTGTCCATCTTTCTTGATTATAATATTATAAGGTTTAATTTTTGTTTCAGACTTGTGTATTGATGATTTTAATTTTTTCATAATACACTACCCTTTTATATAATGTATTTTGTGCATGTAACATGTACATCCATAAAAATATATGGTTTTTGCATCTGCTGGACTGGTCTGGTATATTTTAATGTGTTTAATAAACATATGCTCATTTTTGATATTTTGTGTTTTGTTTGTTCTCCCCCTTTGTGTGCCCATGTGCTATTTTGAGGATCATGTGACTGTTTAATTGGTTTTTAAAAGAATGTTACATTTGTGAAACAGCCATGACTAAAGCCTGACGGCTGAAATGAGTTGGCGTTTTTATCTGCTGCACAGAGTATGAGCAGCACTCAGTAGAGGTGAAGCTGTATGGAACCTTAGAGGGGGCAAAATTTACATATGAATGCAGGAGTGAGTGTCACGCTAAATCGAGCACCACACTGCCCCCTACTGCTGGCAGAACAAACAGATGCCTGACAGGTAAACCTCTGTGGGTTAGTTTCTGACAGCTGACCATTCAGTGTGACCATTCAGTGTGAACAGGCCCATACAGTTGTATCTGCAGGACAAAGTAAACTGTCTGGGAAGAGACTTTTTCAAAGTGGATCATCTTAAAGGGATCATACACGTGTTGTTTCTTTCAGTGTGAACCAGTCTAGAGACATTACATCGGTTACTACATTGTTGCATTGGACAGGAATTGGTTTACTGTTCAGGGCCCATTTGCAGACCCAGAAAGTCACCAACAGACACGTTTGGGAGATATATCATAGTCAGCTTAGTTAGATAAGGTAAAGTGAACTCCTATAACCAGGGGCGGACTGACAACTCATGGGGCCCCCGGGCAATAGGGGATCATGGGGCCCCTGTGTCCTTGCCCACACTCAAAGCACACCCACAAAAACCTATAAAAAAGGTGCCAGGGGCATTTCATGGGGCCCCCTACTGACCCTGGGCCCTCGGGCAGTGCCCGAGTGCTCAAATGGTCAGTCCGCCCCTGGCTATAACACATTTGTTGATAGTCCAATGCCAGTACTTTGATTTCATCTTTGACTATTGTACTTCTGGCTCTGTTTGCAACTACCAGTTTTTACTTTCAGCATGTACCATAGTTGCATATTCTTTACCATCATTTGACTCACTGGGGGAGATTTACTAAAACCGGGTCACACAGCATCTGGTGCAGCTGTGCATAGTAACCAATCAGCTTCTAACTTCAGCTTGTTCAAATAAGCTTTGCCAATAAAACCTGGAAGCTGATTGGTTAATATGCACAGCTGCACCAGTTTTAGTAAATCTCCCCCACTGTGTCACTGGATTTTGAGAGTATCACCAGGTAGAAGTTGTATCAAAACCAACACCTAGTAATGTTCTACATATTACACAATTGGCAGTCAAGCATGCCACACAGTTGTGCTTATCTTGTGAATTATTTTTGTTCAAGCTTTTCATTATATGGGGAATTACTTAGTGTATTTTTTGTTGGAAAGAATAACATTCAAGGTCGAATTTGCCTGTCTAACTGCCCCAAGGCCAACCAGTGGTTTAACAGGGCTGCCATGTGTGAAAAAGCCTAGCTGCATTCAAGTAAAATAAACATTAAAAGTTACTTTTCAAATGCAATGACTAGGCAGGGATAATAGCAATAGAAGTCTACAAGGGATTTCTGTTATTGGCAGACAAAAAAGAAATGGTCTGGCTTTAAAAGGATGCTCTAACAGTCTTCAATAATCTGATCTGAAGTATTCATTATGGAATCAGTGAAACAGGGGACGAGCCCATGTGGGCTACTAGTGACCCATGGCAAGGGTTTTCCAAGCAAAAGCTTGACTCCATCCAAAACAACCTTTTTTCAGTTTAGTTTTGGATAGAGTGGGGTAAAGTTAGCAGTCCTAATGCCTGTTTTGACATTAAAGAGATTTTACCACACTACCTGTTCTGTCTCTCCTGGGCAAGAAGTAAGGAGAAATCACCCAAGTGGGGGCAGAAATAAAAACCTGACAAAGTTTCTAACCCTTCCCCAGTCTATCCAAAACAATAGAGTTGTGCTTTATACTGTATATTGCACCAAATAAAGGGCCAAATTCAGATTGTTTTGATACTTCATGATGCATTGATATCAAAGTGTAATATTTTGTGCATTAACATGAATTGCAATAAGGCAGCTCATTAAATTGGTTCTAAAGGCACAAGTTTGTTTTACCTTAATGCATTCTATGCATTAACATAAACACCCTTCCCGTATCAGCAACTCTCCCCCCCCCCCCCCCAGACACACACACACACACTTCTCTTTCCATCCAGCACTGTGTGTGAGAGTAGAATGGCTGCTCTCTTCCCCTCTCTCCCAGGAGCCATTAGCTCCTACTGCAGTTACTCAAATCCTGAGAGGAAGTTGTGGAAGGCAGGGCTGAGTCACGCTGTGTGTGTCAATAGACACATACAGCCCAGCTATGGAGCAAGCCCACATGCCTGCCCCCATAGCAAGCAGCTTGATACAGGGGCACACAGAGAAGAGGGGGAGCCAAGAGCGCTGGTGGGAGATCTCAGAAGAGGAGGTTCATTGCACAGAGTAGGTACTGTAAGTATAAAATGTTTATTATTTAAAATAAGAGCTGAGCATTTACACTCACTTTAATTTTGAATGAGCTGCTTGCATACCACAACCCATATTTTAATTGACATGCACCTTTTTTGAAACAGCTCACATTTGTATACCAAAGCACACTATTGAAATACAGTGTTCATGTATTTTGTGCAACAACTACATCAGTGTTTAGTAGATATATATTCTTCAACCAGAAGATGGCAGTGTTTATAGGTTTGTAGCTGCATCTATGATAAATTCTCTGTCTTTCCTCTGGATGATAAAGTTTCCTGTTTCCAAAAAAGCAAGAGAAAAGCAAATGTGGATTGTGCACTGTCTGTAGGGCAGTGGGTATAGAAAAGAATCACCCCCTTTAAAATAACCACACTGTGTTGCTTTGCAGCCTGAAATGAAGACAGACACAGTTTTTGTTTTATCCAGCTGTATTTACTCTTAAGTACAATTATAACATCCAAGTGAAAAATATAACACCAACATGTCAGAAAAACAATTCAAAAATAGAATCACTGAGTAGGATCACCCCCTTTTGTCCGTATTTTGTTGCACCTCCTTTTGCTTTAATTACAGCCTTTAGTCTTTTGGGATATGTTTCTACTAACTTTGCTCATCTAGACTTTGCAATATTTGCCCACTCTTCTTTGCAGAACTGCTCAAGTTCAGTTAAATTTGATGTCGTCAAGTCATTCCACAGGTTTTCAATGGGGTTTAAGTCTGTGCTCTGACTGGGCCATGCAAGGACGTTCACCTTTTTCTCCTTCAACCACTGTGTGGTCATTCTTGCTGTGTGCTTTGGGTCATTATCATGTTGGAAGGTAAATCTTCTTCCCATTGACAACTTTCTGGCAGAGGGCAGCAGATTATCCTTAAGAATTTGATGGTATTTTGCCCCATTTATTTTTCCTTCTATCCTGACAAGTGCTCCAGTCCCTGCTGTGGAGAAACACTCCATAAGATGATACTACTACC